TTAAGAAATAAAACTACAAAGAAAAATAACTTTTTTTTTATAAAGCATTCAAAAATATGAAAAAAAATCAATAATATTTATAAATGGGACAAAATTTTAATTTTTCTTTTGGTTTTGTCTGACTCTTTCGAGGATTTTAAATCTCTGTTTGCATATTTAAGAGTATAAAAAATTCTGTATAAATAATTTAATGGTGTACATTTTCGCAAATTGTTGGCAATGATGATCAAATTCTATTTTGCTCATCACAAAAAGATATGCGTTGGAAATTTCAGGCTTAGTTGACAAACTATCAAATAGAGATATAAATATTTTTTCTAATTTGAAAATATAAAAGAGAAATTTTTCGCTGGGAGATTTTAAATTGCCAAACACCTTTTCTTCAGAGTCGTATGCTTTAAAATGCTCCTACACGATGGAATTTTACATCGAAGTGTGTCAATACTATTTATGTTTATAAAGAGGATTTGATTAAATGTCTCGAAGAAATTATGAACACAGAATTCGATAAAAAAACTATTAATCAGACTAAAGGGTTGATAAATTTTGAAAGACAGATTTTAGTTTCTGGTTATTTTTCTTCAGCAAAATAATGACAAATTGCGATATACTTTTTGATCAACTGCTCGATGCTCTCAAGGTTAAGATAAACATATCAAATTTTGCAGCAGCTATTTAAAATATTAGAAATAATATAGACACGCTACCCACCTAACAATTGCAAGTTTATTTGATAGTGAAAAATTTAAAGACTACCGAGGTTGTTTTCCAAATGAGGACGTTAAAATGTGTGTAGTTTATTTCCAAACGTAAACAGCTTAAAATTCAAAAACGAACTGTCCATACTTTATACCCGAGATGACTTTGTGCAACACAATGGGGCCGTACCGTTATTACAAATGTTTTTTGAGAACAATTTGACAATTACATTTTCGGAATCTGTGGAGCTGCTAACTATCCTGTGGTACAATTCCCATGACCACAGTGGATAATGAAAGATGTTTTTCGAAACTAAAACCTATTAAAACATTTTTAAGGAACACTATGTGCCAAGATAGATTGTGCGCATTAGCCATGTTATCCATCGAAAAAAAACTTATTCGGTCCATTCCAAATTTTAATAATCTGGTCATCAATCACTTCGCTAGCCAAATCCAGAAGAACTATAAAAAGTAGTATACAACTGCAGCGGTACCTAGCAGTTAGTCTTCAATTTTGTAATTTTTAATTTGTTTTGAAATATATTTAATTTTCATTAAGCGGAGAACCTGTTTTCCTAAGGGAAAAATTAATCCCGGGATTCCTTTTCAGTGTGTGCCCCACTGCCGCTAGTGCCCACGAGCCGCCACTGATTCCAAAAGTAGGGAAAAAGAATACCACACATCCTAAATCCTTCCGACCAATCAGCCTCACATATTTTGTATTAAAAACAATGGAGAAGGCTGTTGATAATTATATCAGAACGGAAGTCCTGGAAAGGGTGCCACTCCACCACAGCCAACACGCGTACCGAGCAGGAAGATCTACAAAAACTGCCCTGGTACAGTTGACTGACGTAATCCAGGATGCACTAATAAACAAAGAAACGGTCGTGTGTGCCTTCCTAGACATAGAAGGAGCTTTTAACAACACCCCACAACCAGAGAATGTCCACAATAAGGAGGAGTTCTATCCCTACTAATCTGGAACTTAACCGTAGACGAACTTCTGTGCAGATTGACTGACCTCTCGGCATACCCTGTCAAGGTTATGACGACGACATAGTCATATTTGCTAGAGGCGTTTGGAAATATCTTGTGTGATATAGTCCAACGAGGACTAGAACATACCAAAAGATGGTGTCGTGAAGTAGGACTTAGTATAAACCCTACAAAAACAACACTAATAGCCTTTCCAAGGAAAAGAAAACTTAAATTAGACGGGATAGATATAGAATGGAAAAATGAAGTCAAATATCTAGGCCTAACCCTGGACAACAAACTTCTCTGGAACACACATGAGAAGAAAGGCCACAAAAGTCCTAATGCGGTATGCAGAAACATTGAGGGTAAACGATGGGGATGTAACCCAAACATACTGTGCATCACCGGTGCAATGAGAACCTGTCCTAAGGCCACAATGGAGGTGATCTTAAACCTCGCCCCTCTACATTTGATGATATGAGAATATGGCAAAAAGGACACGATATAGAATGATCAGGAACGGAGTAATCAGACGAAAGTCTACTTGCTTCAGGACTAAAGATACCTGGGACATGCAACAGGATGAAATGCTAAAGAAGTAGTTTTGTGAAAAACTTTAAAACCACAGAGTTGGGCATTAAGAAAGAATGGAGCCAAAAATCCATCGCGCTTGCAACCGAAAGATATGCTATTCGGTGGTATACGGACGGTTCCAGAACCATAGAAGGAACTGGAATAAGAGTGTATGGGCCGAGAACCAAGCACTCCGAAAGCTTGGGAAAATAACCAAGCATCTTCCAGGCGGAAATTCATGCCATCAAGAAGTGTATCCAGTTTAATATCGAGAGAAACTATCATAGACAAGAGATTATTATCATGTCCGATAGCCGGTGTTACGTGAAATTAATTTTTAATCAATTTCAAATTTATTTTTAACAACAACTTCTCCATAACCCCTCGTAATACAATCTATGACTCCGGCCCTAGCATTAATACCATTATCGATTTTTACACAAAGCACCGTTTGCGCGCGAAATCTAGTGGTCACAAAACCGATTCGCTTGGAATCAATCGCAAAGTAATTGTTCTGTGTCAATCGCTCTTTCTGATGTCTCGAGTTCAATGTGTCGGATGTACCGATAAATGTGCCTACTATGAATAGTTTTCCTTAATTCTTTAATTTGTGTTTATTAAGTGTGAACGTTGGGATAATTGTCAGGTAAATGTTTTTCTTTTATTCCCATTTTGTTGGATTTAGTTGCAAACCCAATGCTCGGCCATGTGCTTTTTTTTATTACCACCATGCTGGAAAAAGCCGGTTTCTATATTTTATTTCATTTTATATAGATTATAGCTACCCTAACTAATAATATTTTTTAAGCTTTCTTATATCTATTAATATAAATGTGTTACGATTGAATTACTTTGATATATACGCGGGGAGGCAACTAAATAATTGAATTACAAGTCATTTTGGAAATACAGTTTAAACGGAAATTTATGGCTCCTAACTTATTTTTGCCTTATAAATATTTTATATTCTGTTCAGATAATGTAACTTTAATATTTTTCGTAATATTTTATATTTTGTTCAGATGGCGTAACTTAAATATTTGTCGTGATATTTTATATTCTGATGTAACTTTGATATTCATTCCGTTTATGCATAAATCCGTTAGATTTCCAAACTGGCATGTATATGTACTTTTACACACGGTACTCAGGTTCTTTTATTTCTAAACCTGTAGTGGCTCCTCCCAGTATCCAAGAGGCCTCCAAGAAGTACTCCTCCCAGTATCCAAGAAGTACTCCTCCCAGTATCCAAGAAGCCTCCAAGAAGTACTCCTCCCAGTATCCAAGAAGCCTCCAAGAAGAAGTACTCCTCCAAGTATCCAAGAAGAATACTCTATACCTTCAAATATTGTCTCCAACAAGAAGAGGCTACTCTACCGCTAAGTACTGTCTTTACTGTCTCAAAGAAGAAGTACTGTCTCCAAGAAGAGTACTCTACCTCCAAGGACCGTCTCTAAGAAGAAGCTCTAAAACGTATTAAGAAGCTCCAAAGTCCTCCAGGAAGCTCCTAGTTGCCTCTAGCTATAAAAAGGAAAGTACCGTATCTACGTACCAAAATACCACCATCTATCAGTATCGTCAGTAAACTTTATCACTCATTCATTCAACTCATTCACTATTTAATTTGTAAAATTAATCTTTCACTTTTTTAATAAATGTATTAAATTTTCTGTTTCTTTTATTTGCCACAACTCTTACAGATAACTTTAAGTACCAGAGACAGACTCAATTAAACAGGACATTTAAAATCAGAAGTTTTCCAAGTTACTGAAAAACTTGGTGGCTCTCAACTTTTTTTTGTCATTGCTTTACTTTAATATCTTTCATTTTATCTTAAAGTAGATCTTGGCCCGCGAACAGGTCAAGCTATTCTAATTTTATTTGTCCTGGTCAATTTTTGAATCCACACATGTCAACAATTTGAGCTAAATTACTTATTAAATAATTAACAACATAGAAATCTAGAAAAAAGGTAACACCAAGCAGCCATCAAAGCGCTGAGATCTTATATAATCAGCTCAAAAATGGTCTGGAGATGCCTAGAACTATTGAATGAGCTAGGCGAGAAAAATAAAGTTACTCTCACTTGAGTCCCGGGACATAACGCGGTACAGGGTAACGAGATTGCAGATAGTCTTACAAAGAAAAGGGCTCAAACACTCTTTGTAGGACCTGAGCCGTTTTGAGAAGTATCGACAGTAACATAATATTAGGAGAGAAAGAATTGGGCAGTAGAAGAACCGATAATTGGAACAATCTCTTGGGGTTGAGACAGGCTAAGATACTTCTGGGTGAATATAACCAGAAAATATCGGAAGCCTGCATCTGCCTGACCAAGAACATGCTACGTATTGTAACAGTGATCCTTACCGGGCATTTAAATTAAAAGGACACTTAGTAAACTGAGAGTAGTATAGGATAGTGAGTGCAGATTCTGTGCACTATACCTAGGATGATATCAAATAGAATAGGGAGATTTACTTAACTTGAACCAACTCCAAATCCTACACTATCTTGAGAAGATAGGATTGGAAGGATCGTTATAAGCATTGAGACATTTTCTTGGTGCATTAGCGACAGAAGGGGACACAATAGATATTTTAGGTCGTAGTGTATTAACACCCCATTCCCAACATAACGTAATGAGGCTAAATATTATGCCTCTTTAATTTGTTGTATCGTGTATCTACCTTATCTGGCGTCAATCCATAATAAATTAATTTGTTAGAAAAAAAAAAACAATTTTTAAGGTTTCAGTTATATATTTACTAAAAATACCTATACAAATATTGTAAAATTACCAAAAAATGGCAACAAAATGAATTCAAATAAAATGGTAAAATATTCGTTATCAAAAATTACTGCGTTATGAACGCAGCAGTGATGTCAGTCTAGTTTAGGAATGTTACCATATTCACTTATCATATATGTTCTTATAAGAAAGTTAACAGAAAATGCATCCGTTTTATGTAAATTAAAAAATAGAATGACTAACTCTGTTATGTAGCTTGAAAATATTTTTCTATATAATTTTCGGAAAAAAAATGGGGACTCTTTTGTGTTGTCCTCATATTAAAAAATCTTATTTCTAAAATAACTTTATAACCAAGTAATTTAATTATTAAATAGGATTATATTAATGTTGTTTCTTGAAAGTGTAAGATTTAAATATCTAATTTCTCTCCAATTTTTAATTATTGTTCATGCTTTAAAAACAATTTTAACTTGCACCGGAAAGATTGTTAGATTAATGTTTTAGAGATATAACTGTCTCCATGAAATCCATGAAAAAAACTCTTAAAATTCGATAAAAAAATACAAAAAATTACCAAATCAATCAAGTGTATCAAAAATAAATCAAAACATAAAACTTAGCATTTAAAAATTTGCAACCTCCCACAAAATTCTATTATTTCTCTTCTTAAATCCTACTTCCTCCAAAAACACATTCTAATTGCGCAAGTAACAATAAAAAAAAATGGCTAGTTAGTGTTCAACGAGGGGACCCCAGAAATATTTGCTAATCCTGTCCTGTTCTTCAGTCAAGAAGAAATCCCTGCCGTGCTTGACAAACTCCTTTTGGGAAATTTTTCCGTCGCCGTTCGAGTCAATGGCTCTAAATGCCAGAATGGCATCTTCCTCGTTGAGGCCTAACACGTTGAAGAACAATTTGAATTCTTCTACTGTTATTTCGCCCGATCTATCTTTATCCACAGCCTAAAAAAATAAAATACGAATATCAACAAATGTAACATATTTCCATGTAGATATTTTTAAGTGAGACCCCTGTATTGTTAATTTTCGTTTACAGAGACCTCACAAACCGCAAGATATACAATGTCGGTAAAATGGTTCATAAAAGTTTAAGATTTTCCGGCAACTTTCGGAGGTATTCGACAAAATACGAAGAAGCTCATTGTCCAGCGTTACTTATTATAAAATATACAGCGTGTCCCAACAATTTTTATACAACTATACAAATCCATAGTCAAGCATGAAATTTATAAAATTAAAAAATATACAATCCGCTTCAGTATTGGTTTTGGATTACTTATTGAATAAAGTAATTCAAAATCATTTAAAAATAAGTACAATGATATTTAAACTTTATCACATTTTTCAATTTCTATTTCCTATCAACATTTTAATTAATATTTTGCATTATAATGAAATTTAAAAGTATTTTACTCTTTATTATAAATTAATATTTTGGTTTTCACTGCATACCACCTGTATTTTATAAAATTTAATATTTGATTATGAATTCCTAAATAATGTAAAACTTCTTATCAAGAATAATTCTTTTTTGTAAAATGTAAGATTAAACTTTTTCCCATTTGTATAAAACTTTTTATATAAAAAAAATTATTTGAAGTTTTTATTGCGAGAATACGCTAATTTAGTGATGATGCAATTTTAGTTCCACTGACAATTAAAGTGTCCGTAGACTTTTTGAGTGCGTTTTGTTCTTATTGTTAATCTAAACTATTTCGTTTTTTACTTTTATAAATATATTTCTTAAGAGGGTTCTATACCCGTCCGCCATATTGGAAATGTTAATGTTCAAATTGCGGGCTTAATACTCACCAAAAAAAATATCTTTTTTGTATCCGTGCTTCTTATGCATCGTAGATTGGCGCATGATAACTTTTTTTTATAAACATAAAAAAAATAAAATGAAAAAAGTCATATACGTATAAATGTTATCACCCGCCATTCTTCATTTGCCACTGAACAACTTGTGTATTTACCATTTTTGAAAAAAGTAAGTAGTTTTTTCTTAAATTTAACATTGCATAAAAATTTCAGAGGGCACCGGGAGGTGCTGCCCCCAACGGTCCTCTTTTACGTTTGGATACCATGATAATCAATATTTTCTATACCAGATGGCGCACCAATCGCGAAAAGTATGTTCAGTTGCCTAAACCAATAAATATTACAGAGATACTTTCCGATCGATGTATAAAATTGCAAACAACACGATACACAGAATAACGGTGTGTTCCTGCGCATGCAGCTGACTGACGGTGACGTCACGTGGGACAGAATTGTTAGTATTAAATGGGAAATAGTGTTTGAAATTCGATATCGATATTCGATATCGCCGGTTTTAGATTTTATGCAGTTACTTAAGCTTTATTGGTTATTTTGTAATATATTCGTTTACAAATATGAAGGTTTAATGTAAATAATACTAATAAAAATATTAATTTTTTTCATAAATTCTACGTATTTTGTGACAAAATCCATAACCTGGATAAGATAAATAAAAAATATGGACTAAAAATATAAGTTTGACTGAAATTTGTACTTTCTGGGAGTGGTAGTTCCTTTTAAATTTATTTTCTTAGTATGCAGAAACAAATTATTTTTTTATAAAAAGCAAGTATACAAAAAATAATTTTTTATTTGGTAAATTTAATCATTTTTTTGCCAAGTTTACTTTGAAAATATTCAAAACCAATTTTTCTATTCATGTATCTTATTCTTATGTATGTTCCTGTCCTGCTCTTGCATAGTATTTCTTGAAAAGGGACCGTTGTATTGGGACAGGAAACTACTGCTTTATCTGCTAAAATTTTAAAATACCTATTTTCTTTGCTTAATAAAGCCCCATGCACCTGGTGGAATTCAGTTTTCTTCTCTTGCGTTTATGTTTACTACTTTCCTCAAAGTAGATAGGGCAACTTCATGCTAAAATAATATTTTAGCAACTTTTCACTGTCTCTAAACCTATTACACTTGTGCATTTTACTAACCATTATTGTTTAAATTAAGTTTGTCCTTTCTATGATAAGAATTTATCCATATTTTGTGGCATTCGAAAATATCTTACATTACACTATTTTTGAATTTCGCATTATGGATTTTGCAAGTCTCCACCGCGCAGCCCGGCCATTTAAATATTAATTCAGTTCTTCCCTATTATATATAAGAAAATATAGTCACTACTAACAAAAAAACAAATAAATTATTAAATTATTTTACACTATTCAATCAAAAAGTGTCAAAATAACTTGAAAGTTCGTCCCGAATTACGTCACTGCGCGGTTTGAACGAAATTTGAATCGTTAGTGGCTAGTATGTGTATCGTGGGCAAACAATAAATATTGTGTATTCGCTCCGTACGCGACAGCAGCGCCAATTCGTTTTGATACTAATGGACTATTTCTGCATACACTGACAAATGCAACTTTTAATAGAATTCGTAATTAAAAAGTATATATGGTAGTTTTAATAAAAGTATATGGATTTGTAAAACAAGTAAAACATTAATTTATTATTATTATATATTTTTATCGCTTAAATTAAAGAAAATTATGTATAATCGATAAAAATGAATAATAAAATATAGGCAGGCAACAGTATTTACTGGAAATTGTATGAGAAGTTGCCTAAGTCTAATAAGTTTTCATTGAAGAATTACTCTAATCTGTCAAAATAAAAAAATTCCATTTAATAATAGCGTGAAGTTAAAATGTATAAAAAAAGGATCATTACTTATATTTTCATTTTTGTTCGAAAGAAAACATAGAATGAATGATTAAAACTGATTTCCCATCAGTAAGTTACAAAATTGCGGGTCCAACCACATATAATAATCAAAGGCAGAAATCTTGAAATCTAGTCCTTGCTGAATGAACATTTAAGAATAAGGGATATTAAAGAACATGGTAAAATGATAATTTATTATTGATTTAAAACCTTTCAAGTTTCTGATGTCTACTATTTGCAGCATTACGGTTATTATTACAAAAATAAAGGTAATTTTTCTTCTTATTGTATATCTATCCATTTATATCTTTGATTTAATTTCCACTTTGCTACTGAAATTTTTTATATAAGTTTCACTGTTTTTTTTGCTAGTATTTGTTCAATTTTCAACACAGCAACTCCGGTTGCTTAATGTATTGTTTTTACCTACTTTTTTTTGAAAAAAAGTAAAATGTATACGTGTATTTGATATGCCAAAATTTCAAAATATCCCCCTAAAATGCACGAATTATCCGCAGCTAGCGCTAATATCGCTTTTGCTTCCCTTTCCATGACTTCGCACGGAGCGAATACGAGAATTGGTAGACTATGCAACCACAAATGCACAGAAATATATTTCAGGCTGCCTAACAATTTCTTTAAAGGAGGGGGTTATGGCGAAGACGTAAGGGACGAGGATTTTGAGGTTATGTATGAAATTGACGGAGCTGATGGGTATAGAACCCTCTTAAGTAGATAGATTATTTTGTTACCAATTACATCCCAACAAACTACTTATGTCTGGTAAAGTGACTTGTGACAAAAGTCGACTAATCAATGCAGACCCCCAAAAAAATAAAACCTATTAAAAGGTATGTCAAATTTAATTATGTTTTCGTTAAAAGTTTGGTTAAAAGTTAATTGTTAGTGGAAACAAAATTGCGTCACACTAATATGGCGTATTCGTATTTCCAGGACCACCTTCCAATTATTTTTTTAAAATGCGGTCCTGGATTTTTAACAAATTTTTTGTATGAGTAATTTTTGTATAGCTAAATAAAACGTAATTTTACTACGTTTCGTCTATTAAAATATCATCAGCTTTGTAGTCTGTTCAACTACCCTTTGTTTTTGAATAAAATAAGGTGAATCGTTTATCATATACCGCCGAAAACTTTATTCTAGGTTTTTTCGTATTGATACAAAAAACAACTCCTCGTACAGGACGATTTTAGTTTGAAGGATTGGAGGGGGCCACTTTTTACTAATTGCTGCATCGGCCCTTCAACCCTCGAGCAGTGGGATGAATAACCCCTACAATTAAATAGGGAAAGTACCAAGGATGACACATCATTGAAAAGGTAATTTGATGGAGAATTCGGCAATAAGACTATTGAGAAGTATAATATTTAATTTGAAAGCTAATTGTATTACTAATTCAATGCACTACATATCATTAATCTAAATATCTCCATATTGTACTTGCAACAAAATAAACTTTTTCTACACCCACATGGATATTAACTTATCTACGCACAGACTACAAAACGAAAAAGTATGCTATTGCGTTCAACTGAATGAATATATTTCATATCCATTCTAGGTAGTGAGAACATGCAAAAAAATGAAATCCACCAATCAGTTGTATGGGTACAACTATGAAAGTCGCAACCCCCCTTAGAAATCTCACCTTTGCAATCAGCAGCTGTTGTTTGACAGGTTGTACAGTTCATATTTTGGACACCCACCTACTATTATTTTTAAAATTTTAAATAAGTGACAATTCTGTCAAACTAATTGTCATTATATTTTTTAGTTATATACATTAAAATGAGTAACTTTTTGAAAAAAAAAAAAAAATTAATGAAATTATAAGAAAATAATCTAATTACGAGTATTAAAACTAAAATCTTAAAACTGGCGGTGGAGGTGAGGAAATGGTGTCTGTCTTCCACGTGGGAGAACCACATTCAAATCTCGGCCGGGGACTAGTAAAATTAATTTTTTTTTATGTTTATTTTATTTTATAAATTACAGTCATAAATTATTATAAACCTAAAATTTGTAGATTTTCGCTAGTGGGTCGTAGAAGAAATATACTGTACAACTCGAGTGGATTGTCTATATCCACTCTTGAAACACAAACTACTATAGCAATAATGCAAACAATGACTAATTTTCAGACTGTTGTAAGTGCAATATGGAGATATATTAGTAATAATAGAAGTTTGTGCAACAAGAGT